CCCCCCCCCCAAAAAAAATTGGGACCTAAGGAGTAGGAAAAACATCTCAGGATTGGGGCTCACCATTAAGGTAGCCATTAGCATTGCTTCTTTCTTCTTTCCCCCTCTCTCCCTCATGGTACACAGGGCCATTTCACATGGTTCTAGTACCATGATTCTACTTTAACTGCTCCAACTGCATCCCATGGAATCCTGGGTTTTGTAGTCTGGTGAGGCACTAGAGTTTACTAGATGACAATTCTAAATACCCCTCCCTAAACTGCAAATCCTGGGATTCTATAAGATAACATGACAGTTAGAGTGGAATGTAGTGTTATGATTGTGTAGCGGGAAAGGGACTCTCTATATTTTATACATGTTTTGGTTCTATAGGTTGAGAAAATATTTCTATCAGCTCTTTATGGACATTTGTTCCAATGCTATCATCATCATCATCATCACCATCATCATCATCATTTCTATCCTGCCCCCCCCCCCATTCTATGGATTTCTGAGATTTATAGTTTTGTGAGATATTTAGCCTAATCTGTTAGTGATCTCTGGTGCCACAATAAACTACAAATCCTAGGATTCCATAGCACTGAATCATGGCAGATAAGACAAAATTGAATTAGCATCAAATTATGAAAGTAGATAATATTAATTGGGAATCCAATTGCAAAGCTTACTCCTTAAAGATGTAAAATTTAAAATCATTATAAAAAATTTAAAATACTGTTTTACGCCGGCAGACCATAGCTGCTGCACAAAAGCTGGCCACTTTAGTTGTTACTGATGGACACTGGTCTTCCAGCAAATAGGATTTATAAAACTGGATTTGAATCTTGGCCTCTGGGAGTTGCCATAAGTTGGAAATGACTTGAAGGCACACAATACCACCACCACCAACTCAAAGGCCAACACTCAAGCCATTACGCCCCACTGGCTCTCAAGCTTATGTTATTTTATTTTAATATTACCAAAGACATAGAACAGGACATATTACCAAAGACATAGAACAGGAACAACTACTCTTTGGACCTTATCACACGGGGTCTAAAGCAGAGCTAATCCAAAGG